ATTGTTTGTTTTAATAATTGTTTCAAATTGTTCTATAAATTTGAATTTATAAAGGGTCATGTAGCTTAAGGCTAAATCAAAAGTATTTGTATAAAAATTAATAAACTTGATCCAATAAGTTATACTAGTAATATTAGAATTATTAATTAGTAGTAAAGTAATAAATAACATGGATGGCAGAAGCAATAGTGCATATTAAGATATGTGGTAATACATTTTTATTTTTTAATTCTCTTATAACCCAAACTTCTTTATTATTAAAAAACTATCCTTATCAATATCATCATACTTGTTAAACTTACAAACACTTTTCAAAAAATATTCAAATGAAGTTGTAAAATCTAATATTTGTTTCAATACAACCTTTATATATTTTTCTATTCTGATATTATTTATTGTATCACTTAAAAAAATCTACAATCTTTTTTAGTCTCAAAAACTGAAATCAATTTATCTTTTCAATTGATTAATACTTGGTAACTATCCAATCAAAATTCATTACATTATTCAAACCAAAATAATAAAACCAGTTTAAACCAGTTTATCAATTCAATAATAACAACAATAACAATAATTGGCTTTAATAACAATTATAATAATAAATAACTTCAAGTATATTTTACTATTCATAATAATAAAAGCTATATTAACAAGTTGCAAAGAATCAAAGAGACAGGATAATGAGCTTGGTTAGGGGTTCTTTTGAAGATATATCTTTTATTTTTACAAATTTTATAATTTACTTGACTTAGTTTTTGTTTTAATTACTTTTATTTTTTCTTTAAATTTCCTAAATATAAAAGCTTTTTTTCTAAATAGGAAGGTATAGCTGCTATTTAGCTTATGTTTAATAATAGTATTGTTTAAAATTTCTTTTCTTTACTAGTTAGACATAGTATATATAGGTAAACTAGCATTTAACTCATTAAATATATAAGAGATATTGTTTTTTTTTGAAATACAAATAAATAAAGAGATGATATTTTTTTACTCAAAAAAAAAAAAGATTAGATAAAATTATTTATTATTTTAAAGCTAACCTTAATCAAAAATACTTAAAATATCACAATAAATCTTTTATACTTTTATAAACAATTAGAATATTATTTGATCAATTTTAAACACAAATAGTAAAGTTAATTATTTTTTTTGTACTAATTACAATATATTGCTACTTAATAACTCAATGGCAATTAGTATTAAAAAACTATTTTTCTTATTTGATTAAAGTATACAAGCTTGCCAAAATATTTATGTCAATTAATTTATAAAAATTTAAAAATTTAATATAAAAAATAATAAAATAATAAAGACAATTTATTAAAAAATAAGAAAAGAAATAAGATCAAAGTGAAATCTATCTAAAGTATATAGCCAGGCTGCTATTCAAAAGAGAAAAATAGTCATTCTTATATATAGTTTGAAATTGTATGATTATTCTTTGCTTATATTTATTGTTGATTTTCAGTAATTTGTTATTTTAAATTGAAAGAAAAATCTCTGAACCTTTTGTTTTCAGTTATCCATTTATACAAATAAAATATATTGTACTGATAAAATATGATATTAATTATTTTAAAATAATTTTTTTCAAATAAATTTATAAGTTTATTTTCTATTAACGAAAAATTAATATAACTTAAAGACATGCCGATTTAAAAAATTTTTTTTATTATTTTTAAAATTACAGAATTCTTTTAATAAATAGTGCAATTTATTTATTTTTTGGAAACCAACATGCCACCTTAACTGATCTCGCATAAATTTGATGAAATTCAAATTCATGACTGCAGCTACGTAAGAAATGTTTTTAAAATCACTTTTTATTAACTTTTGGATTTCTTTTATGCACCTTCCCTTTCATGGTTATAGATAGTTTTGATACTTTCTGGCCTTTCTTTCTATACATCGATGCAAGTGGAACGTAAGCATATGGATCAGGCTTTCCTTTCCGTTTAATGTCACCTTCTGCATGTTTTGCCTTATATTCCTTCCCAATAATTTCAACCTTCTTTGCTTGCTTATTTTTTTTCCTTCTTTTCGCAATAGCATCAATTGGCTCTATCTCATCCAATTCCATATCACCATCTCTATTTCTTTTGTTGAACTTGATCTTATTATTTTGACTACGCGTAAAACCGTCAGCAGACTGCTTCGCTTCTCTGTAATGATCCTCCGCCTCCTGCATTGCGACATCCGAAGAATTTGATCCGTTAGGCATATCCGAGATTTCTTCATCTGATTCATTGATTATCATACGCCCATCGCCGGATTCTTTGAAGGAAAACGCAATGCCTTTTGAATTCTTTTTAATCGTAGGGTCCACCCCAATGACTTTTGATATTACGCCCTTGTCTAAGAAATCAACTGGAGAATCCGTGTCCTCTTTTATCCATGATTTAGATGACTTCTTATCTTGTTTGCTCAAAGGTTTAGTTCTAATTTTCGGCTCAACTCCCTCATCAGAATCCTCTAGGTCACTCTCGCTTCCATATAACGCTTCTTCATACGCACTGTTAAACAAGGGCTTGTTTTTAGAATGCGATATCTTTTCGCTTTGTTCACCACTCTCATCATCTATCTCTGTGGTTTGTGCAGCACTTTTTTTCCTTTTCGCTCGATCTTTTCTCTTACGAATATTTACCAGCAACTTCTTATCTGTTTCCGGCACACAGTTGTTTATTATATCGTACCCAAACCGTCTAATCAAACGTTCAAAAATATGTCGCACCTTGACTTTGAAATGACTCTTGTGTTCGTTAGACCATGTAAGAATCCCAAGAATAATCTGTGATAAGTGCGACTCCAAAAAAACTGCATCTAAGGAAATCGTAATAACTTTGACGAATCCTAATGCTGATTTGACAATCTCTCGATTCGTACAATTTACAAAATTGTCTATTGTACTAATAAGTTGGTGGAGACGCGATTTATCAAGATCGTTCTTAAACTCAAATACTAATCTCGACAATGCTGTGATGGTAGCACTAATCATATGAGGAGTGGTCGCAGCAAGACCGGCGACCACCATATTAAACACAAACTCATCAATGGAAGCCTGTGCGTTTGGCAGTGTTTGATCAGCTCCCGTTACCTTGCTCATTATTATGATACCACCTTCTTTCATCTTGTTGCACATGACCACGAGTAACTCATATGCAGTGGTTCTGGCTTTCTCGTTGACTTCTTTCGTACAAAGGATTGCTTCCGAAAGTACATCTGGAATCATGTGAAGATCCGAGCTTGGTAAGAGTTTGATTGTGTTAGTCAATACCAGTAATCTATCTTTTTTTGCGGCAGGAGCAGATGCCATGGTGGCATCTAATAATTTACTTTGTAAGTTTTTGATGTCTTGTAAAATCACCAATTTTCCATTATCACTTTCCATAATATTATTCAGAATCTTATATGATTTTTTTTGTAATGTGGGGTCGTCGTTGCACAATAACGACAGAACGACTTCACATAATTGCCCAATTGATTTTGCATCAAGATGTGGTATCATGGCGACTGATAAGTCCAACATTGTGTATGACATCGGAGGAGATGAAGTTTGATCATTCGAGTCGAGCGGTTTATGATTTGCCAGGGATTGTTTTAGTAAATTCACGACTTTACCAAAGATCTTTGAAATCTCTTTAGCTGGAGTGATTGTCAAGTAAACCTTAATAACGTCCAATATGTATCCTCTGTATGCTAGCGGCGTTTGATTGAAGACATTAAAGAAAACCGCCAAATAATTTGCAGAATATTTAACCAAATGCTCAACATTAAGCTTTGCCGAGGCCTTATTTAAATGATATTTCTTGAATAATTCTTCATCTTTTTCATCGGAATTCAGAATGATTTTGTTTTTTTCTACTAAATTTTCAAGTGCCGAGGCGATAGTTGGACGTAGTTCTGGCTTTTTATATATAACATTGCCAAGTAGTTCGGCTTTGACACCTGTGAATGATGTCGGCAAATCAATGGGAAGATCACAAAATCCTGGAAGAAGAGCCCATACTTGCTGCACTAATGTATCGTAAACCTTTGACTCGATCATCCTATTATCATTTCGGAATTCGGAAGACAATTGATCAAGTCGTTCGGCCAGGGGTACTATATTCGAGAAGAAGTAACCGAGCTCTGTGTTGGTAATATGATCTTTGAGCAAGGGAAGAAGCCAAGCACGTCCAGTATCGTTTTCTGAATTTTGTAGGTTCAACGGCAGAACACTCAGGAACAATTGGGGTCCCATGCTCGCGATTGCCGCACCCAGTGCCCGATCAGCTTGTTCTTTTAGTTCAAATGAAGGGTCCATCCGCACGTCTCCCACTATTTTAAGTAGGTTAATCAAAAGTTTCTGTGAAGACCGATGTAGTCGTTGAAACAGCGCTTTTGAAATTTCCAGAACACACGGCCACGCCGATTGGTATCGAAAGTTGAAACCACCCTCAACGGTTCGAATGAGCACATCCAAACACAAATTATCTGATTCAGGTTGTAGGACTTTTTGCTGAATAATGTCATCGGAGATACCATTCATAATGAGACTCGAGAGACAATTAGTACTTGCGACAAGGATGTTTTGATCGTCAACTTCAAGAATGGAAAATATCGCAGTGAAGAAATCCACAAACATTTTCGCATATCCATTCGAATTTGCCTTGGCATATGCTGAAAATCCATTGCTCACGATCATAAGCCAATGAGGCAATAATTGAGCATCTTGCTTATTTGGCATGAGGTCGAACAAAGCTTTGAGTAACTCCTCAAGGGCATTCATCTCAAGGTTATTTTCACCATTGTGAAATAATTCTTCGAAAACTTGGAAAGTAGCGATCGTGAGAAACATGTCGTTGAGCTTTGGTAAATGTAGCAAATTTTCAAATAACTTTCCAAGAGCTGAAACTGGCCATTTTCCGACTATTCCCTTTAAGAGTGATAAAATGTGAATCACGGATTGTCGATCAGATTTCGAATGTTCTTTTATAACTCCCAAACAAAATTCCGAGGTAATACCAATGGCCGGATGCTTGCTCAATGATGATGACAGAGAACTATTAAGGATCTTTCGCACAGCATCATGTGCCCTTTTCCTTGGTTTAGGCCGCTGATCTACTGAGAGGATCAACAACGACTGGAATCCTTTCTTCAAGATCGGTTGACTCCATGCATTAAACTCTTGTGCTATTATTAAAGTTTCCAAACAACCTGTAGCCGAACGGACAATGGACGCGTCATTTTTGTCATTTTCTAAGGTTTCCAAGAGGATCGGTAAAATTTGGGAAAATTTATTACGCAATATTGTTTGTGCTAAGTGTGGAAGTATTATGTTTAAGAGGTATAGTATCGCTCTCCGAATTTCAATCTTCGAATCCTTGAAAACGTCTTTGCTTTGCTCCTCCAGCATTGTCATCAAAGTGCCAAAATAAGCAACGGGTGTTAAGGAAACATTTTGTTCTTTGATGGTTTCTTCAATTGCAAGAAGCGTAACAGCAATTTGCCTTTGGTTATCAAGTTTCGAATCGATTTGACTGCGAATTTTATCCCATTGTTCTTCCATCGTCCGTGTAAAAAAAGATTAAAAAAGATTATCAAAAAAATTTTTTTAACCATTGTTAATTAAATTCAATAATGATATGCGTTTACATCATGCCAATTAGATAAAATTTATGAGTTCTCAACTTTCACAATAAGCATGATTGACAGTCTATTCGTTTTGAACAATTCTGGGTATGTTTCTTCAGCTTGTTCAATTTACTTGTAACCTTTGTTATATTCACTCTTTTTATACACAGGAAAATCATTATAGAAAAGCACTGGCGTGGTCTCATTAACCGTCAAATAGTCGATTACTTTAACGACCATGTCATCAACAAATCCCCTGAAGACGTTTTGCCAATAATATCAACACCAAAATATCAATTGGTGCATGTATATCGCTCGGGTCTAACGTTCCTAAGCCCAGTCTCAAATGAGGGTGAATATAATTTTGCACTTATTTATTATAACCACTTGAATTTGGATTTTTATTTATTCTTCTAATTCTCGAATACACAAACAGTTGACGCATTGTTAGTTATAGAATTTCTTCATCGAATTGTTGATATTTTAGCAGAATACTTCGGAGAAATTGCCGAAATGTCAATAAAAGATAACTTTGATACCGTATACCAGGTTCGTGTATGGATCGTAAGAAGCTCATCTAAATTTCAAATCACTAAAACGCTTTTTAGCTTCTGGAGGAGATGATGGATTATGGTAAATACAATTATCTTAGTCAGCCCTTGATATAATGAATTTCTGGTACCAGATTTCCTTGTTCAATTTTATCAAATTCTCTATCAAGGGTGGACCGTAGCATACCATCATATTTCTATTAACCATACATTTACGCGAAGCTTTCTTCTTAATATTGTAGGATACCCGTTAACCACCGAGCCAAACGCGTTAAAAGATATGATCGTGCCACCAAACATTATTAGTAAAGTTATAAGTCAAGTTGCAGGTGTAACGAGGTATGTATAAAATACTAAAAGAACAGACTGTCTGATTGTTAAGCCTAACATCTGTATTTTGAATGAAGCATGACCCAGCATGTACCCAATGGTAGCACTATAGCGAGTATACCGTGGCGAAAAGCTGGTGTCAAATATAACAATAACGAAATATACTTCGATATAATCGAAGAGATAGACGCGATAGTAGATAGGTATAAGTTAAAGAAAATATTATACGTGAATTATTTGAGTGTATAACGAAGTCATAATTATATGTCCTCTAATTCTTCGATCATAATAAAACTTGCATTTTAGTAATGGTACCATAGTATCATCAGAAACTCATGGTTTGATACAGGCAAATTGTCGTCTATCTGGTAAAATTTTATTATAACTTTCCTTTGGATTATTAAATATCTACATTCTAAACAATTTAAACTAAATTTGAAAGGAATGCCTGACCTTACTTTAAGTTTCGTTAACCCTCGAATATTGGACGACTGTAGCTTTCATCCTTGCGTAAGATACAATAAATTTGAACACGAGCGTGTTCTCTCTTTCGTACCACCGGATGGACATTTCAAATTGATGAGTTATAGGTGTGCATTACATACTCAAGCTTTTTTATTATAAAGTATATCATCATAACTTTTATCTACTTAGAGTGAATTTCCCAAATCACCATTCACTACCAGTTCATATAAAACCACAAATACATATGACTAATAATGGCGGTATGTGGTTTCTGGACTGTATTTTGATTCATGCATGTACCATTTTTTTTAAAAAAATCTATTTTCTCCAGGAAAATTTGATATTTCCATTTCAGTACGGAATACTGATGGAAAACCAGTTGAAAATGTATTGTTGATATTTCCGCTTGCTCAATCAGTTACCAGTGTCAATGCTACTTGCAACCTAGGGTCTTATATTTTCGATCCAGTAACAAAGGTGTGTTGAAATGTTCTAACCTTTTCGAAAGCAATTACTTATTATTAACAACCATAATTCTCTGAATGGCATGGAAAAGAGCATAAAATGGGATTTGGGTAAAATAGATCCTAAAGATAGATCACCAATATTATCAGGGAACTTTAGTAGTCCGTAAGTAGAAAATTCAATTGTGTAACTAGGTGAACCAAACTTGACATCCTGATAGTTAATTTATTTATATTATATAGTGAACAAACTCCTGAATCGGGTCATACAATAACACTTGAATTTGTTATAAATATTTTTGCTATATCGGGATTAAAAGTGGACAGTTTAAAGATCTACAACGAAAGTTACAAACCTTACAAGGTAAGAATTATTAATAATCAATTTGATTAATACATTTTAAATTAAACTGGTTATTTCTAAATAAAAGGGTGTAAGGAGTATGACCAAAGCAGGGAAATTCCAGATCAGGACGTAGATGAAGGGCTTCTTTGTGTTCATATATTTTGGGTAATATTTTAAAGATTGGCGTCATAAATTGACTCACTGTCTGTGACGTATTAAAGTGGAAATATAGACTTCGAGTGATTAAATGAACTTGAAAATATAAATTCAAATCCAGGAAGAAACATCATTTAACAACTAGATAATAATGATATTAAAATTTAAATG